TTTGATTATCGGTAAGTTTTACCTTCTCTGGAAAATGAATGAATTTTTTAATTCAGACACTAACAAAAACTTTTACTGCTTCTCCCTGAGGGAAGTTGTGATTTAACAACACCTCAAATCAGTAAATAATATTATCTTACCAAACTGCTTTACAAAGTATTCAATGTTTGCAATGTTTCTTAAGTCATGTAATTTATTTTGTAATTGCACAGTAATAATACTCGACAAGGAAGATGTGTATTATGTTTGTTATTGTTATACTGTAACACTGCACCACACTATCACTGTTGAAAACTATAACTAAAATTAAAACTTTGAAACCCTGAAAAATTAGATAAAAACAGCCTATTTGTTTACCTATTATCCATTTGCTCCTGTGCATTTTTCTCTTGGTTTCATAAATTAAAGCTGCCCAGTGGAACTGCTGTTCCCGTGTCCTTCATCATAAACACGTTACACTTAACATTTTATTTTGCTAGCACATTGCACCCTCCTTCTGCATGTATGTGATCAGTGGAACAGCAGGGAACTAAATACTTATATACCATTATTTCTTTATAACTTTAATGTTGATTTAAAACTCCATTGGGTATCTTTAATTTTGATTAGATTTTAGCATCACAATGCACAGGTTCAAATCTTATTTTCATTTGATTTATAATAACTCTTTGATCATAATTACATTAATCTGTGTTTTTCTTTTTTTTACTCTGCCTTTTCTATCTAAACCCTTCCCCTCCAAAACCTCAATCCTTTTCTTTTTCAAAGGTCCCTTGAAAGGTATGAAAAAAACCCCAAATATTGACACTTTGTATTTATACCTGTGCGATCCTGGAAAGATGCTACAGATTTGTGAAGCTGCAAAAACTGTATTTGTACTTGCAATGTGTAGTCAGTCCTCTGACACACTGAATTCTTTTCATATTTTAGAATAGCACGTGTGTCCACTCTCCCCTACCCTCGCAGGTATGATCATTTAGTACTGCAAATTCTTTACAACTACTTTATAATAAGATTGAATCATTTTATTTTTTTATCTTTTCCAAAATATCTTGAGTTTTTATTTATTTTTTAATCATTCATTCCTTCATTGTTTTTTGTAGAGAAGAGGAACGAGGGCTTCAAAGAGGTCAGCCATCTATTGAGGCAATGATGAAGCGATCAGACAGCGATGACAGTCTGGTGGAATATGGAGAAGGGGGCGAGATACCATTCAATGAAGATGGCTCATTCATTGGCCAGTACACAGGAACCAGGAGAGACGTCAGGGAGTTGGACTTTGGTGGAAGTCTGGAGCTGCACTCACCAATAAATACCATCTACTCCCTGGCTTAACACTCAGATGTCAGACTGTGCTTCTGAAATACACAGAGCTATTTGTCATGTGGTTTCACTATCCCTGCATCCTCCACCTTCAATTTAGAACCTGGAGGAACTTTTATTTGTCAGCAGGACACAGCTTGAGAGTAAAGTGCTGTTTAAGCCCTCCCTATCCTTGCAGACAGCACAACTTTCAGGCATTTATGGAATAAAATGTAGAAAAGTTGGAATAATTTTTCTATAGAGATGTGATTTTCTTTTTAAACAAAGCTTTTATCTCTTTTGTAAAATACAAATATACATTGTTCAGTTATCCTATTAGGAAAGAGACACTTGCTGCGGATCACAGGAGATGGAAGTGGAACAGTTTATCATGTTGATAAAAATGGGTTACAAGGACTGATCTAGATTGGTTCTATCATTTTTTTTTCCTGCTAATTTCAAGAAATCTATTATTTTTGAATACTTGCAGTTTCATAGAAGGGAAGTATCCTACTTTCACCTGAAGGGGAACCATCTATCAATTCAATTTTTTTCTGCTTATCCAATTCACAGTCGCCAAGGGGGCTAAAGCCTATTCCAGCTGTCCTAGGGTGACAGGTGGGCTATACTCTGAACAGGTGCCCAATCTGTCACAAGGCTAAAATGCAGGACAGACAACTAGTCACATTCATACCTATGGGCAATTTAGATAATAAAATATCCTAACCTCATGCCTGTCTTAGGACTATGGGAGGAAGCCAGACTACCCAGAGATAACCCACACAGACATGGAGGTTATCGTGTCCGCAACTGTGCCACAAAAAGGGAACTACAAATAAAGGAAAATAAAATCTCTCCATGGACTAACAATTCATTTGTCAGTTTCAAATCTGATTCTGTATGAAACAAGATGTCAAACCATTTGAGGAATCAATTGTGAGCCATAAATCAACTATAAAATCAGAGGTCACACATGAACCGGTCTCCTAATTTCACTCACAGTAAAAATGATTAATATTTATGTAACAGCAGGTTTTTTGTTTTTTTTTGACTACTAATGCCACCTCTGTATTAAGACTGTTATATCTAATTTTAAATAAAGTGAAAGTATTTCTAGGATGTTTCATATGACTAAATATTGAAACCAGCTTCTGTATCTTGGAATTTTAAAGGGATACCCAAAACTTTCTTTTATTATCATTCTTAGAGTTAGCTTTTAACATCAATTTAGGGTTAACCACTGTAACACATGACCACAAAATAATGTTCAGTCATGTTATTGCAGAGTGGAAAGAACATGAGTAACGCACACATGTCCAGATGTTACAGTCACATGAGATAAGTATATATGGGGCGATCGTGGCTCAAGAGTTGGGAGTTCGTCTTGTAATCGGAAGGTTGCTGGTTCGAGCCCCAGCTTGGACAGTCTCAGCCGTTGTGTCCTTGGGCAAGACACTTCACCCGTTGCCTACTGGTGGTGGTCAGAGGGCCCGGTGGCGCCAGTGTCCGGCAGCCTCGCCTCTGTCAGTGCACCCCAGGGTGGCTGTGGCTACAATGTGGCTTGCCATCACCAGTGTGTGAATGTGTGTGTGAATGGGTGGATGACTGGATATGTAAAGCGCTTTGGAGTCCTTAGGGACTAATAAAGCGCTATATAAATACAGGCCATTTACCATTTACCATATATACATATATATATATATATATATATATATATACTTATCTCATAGTTTAATCTATCATTCTAATTGTCCACAAGGATGTTTCACAAGTGGAAAACATTCATGACAGTTGGTGGTCTTCCCAGTCAGCTTTGTCAAAATTGGGTCATGCAACAGGGCAATGACCTCAAGCACACCATGAAATTTACAACAGAATGACTGAAAAACAACAGAATGAACGTGTTGCAATGGTCCAAAGTCCAGCCTCCAGCTTAATCCAAATGCTATGGCAAACAGGAAAGTGAACTGAACTTAAGCAACACTAAAAAAAGAGTGGGTTAAAATTCCACCACAATGATGTGAGAGGCTGCATGACTGAAAGTCATACAGAAAAACATTAATATGTTATTGCTCCTAAAGGTGAATCTAGAATCTAATTAATCTTTCATACACTGCTTCTGCTTCTGCTTCTGCTGGCTTGATTTTTGTTAAATAAATATTGACTTCATATATTATATCATGTGTTCTTGTTCACTTGAGGTCGTTTTAAGGCTCAATGATGGTGTTAAAATTACAAAAAATCGAATTGAAAGAGACTGTTAATTACAAATTGCACTAAAAAGATAAAAACACTTTAATTCCCCTGAACCTTGGACAATTCACTACGATGTGGCAGGTTCACTGTAATCCATCATTACACCATTGGGGATTAACTTAAAGACAAAACGATATGTTATCTAAAATCTTTCTGGTTTATCTGCTATAGCTCTGAGTTATCGTTGTCATGCCCCTCCAATCAAGCATACCTAGGGGTTAGCTGGTAATGTTAAAGGGTTCAAGACTATGAGAGAGCTGAAAGAAAAACAATGTTAAATGAACTTCAAATTATCAAAGATGTTAGATTTGGATCAGAAGGTTCCAAAACTAGATAAAAATTTATCCTTTGGAGGTTTTTAATCATGTATCATATAATAACATTCACTGAGCTTATCAATGTACTTTAAGTTTTTTATTTAGAAAAATATATGTTGAGATTAAAGAAAAATAATAAGCTGTTTTTTTGTTTTTCTTTTGTTTTTCTGTGAGAGGAAAAACATCTAATAATATCCTGAAACTGTCTTTCTTGTTGTTCTTATCCTTCTGAAAATGTTCATCTTTAAGCTTGGGACTGATAAATGCCAACAACTGAACAACAACTGAACAACTACAACAATGATCCAAATCATTAATTAAACCTCTATTATCAATTATTTTATCAATTACATCTCATTTATAAAGGTGATTACGTGTTTATCATATAAAAATTACAGAAAAATGATCATCTTTGGGTTTCGGACTGATTATTTGTAATTGCAAATAAACACCAACAAACTATTTTTTATCGACCAAGTGATCCAAATTATTAAATAAACCATCAATTATTTGATCAATTACTTCATAAAATAATCTCATCATTAATAATCTCATTATTTACAAAAGTGATACAAAGCTGCAGCGCTAATTTATTTGAGGCATAACACGAAGCAACAGTGTGTAACTAAACGAAAGACCACTTTGAAGTTTGTTGTTAGCTGTTTATCAAGACATTTCTATGGAAACCAGTATGATCATGATGTTCTGTAAAATACGATGCATCGGCTCACAATGTTATCAGGTCCTCTTATCAGCAGGAAATGACCTGAGGTGATTTCACTGTAGCAGGTTGAAGAAATTTGGAGTCAGATTTATCAGGTAATAAAAGCTATAAGCAGTCATCTTATGACTGATGCATTTATTACATTTTGTTGGCACACAGCCTTTGTCCCTGCCCTATCGGAACTATAAAAAGGACTCCCTGGAGTATTTGTGTCAAACTACCTGTGAAAAGTTCATCATCAGAGCAAGAAGGTTTTCGTGACTTTAATATGCGTAGCAGCAGTTCACAGAAGAATTAGCTGTAGAACGCAGAGTTAGTTTGATTCTGTCAAAATCAGTCTTACAGTGATTCATGAAATTTTGAATAATTATCGTAAATAACTATTTGTTGGTGTTGCAGATCACATGTTGCAGATAGAAAAAGGATCAACTGATTCAACATGGCTCAAGTAACAATCTTGGCTGGTAAATAAATCATCATTATTTCAGTTACTAATTGATTCAAAAGTGTAAAATTCTGCAAAATAATAACTAATATATTTGTTTTTCCAGGTTTGTCCCTTTTGATTTGTCTTCAAGTTGGTATGTATTGATCATCTATATGTATTACTGACACGTGTTTCTGAATTACATGACTTAAAATGAGAAAAAAAAATTCTCCTCTTTGCAAAAGTGTCTTCAACCAAACTGGCATGCTACTTCACCAACTGGTCCCAATACAGACCGGGTGCTGGGAGATACATTCCTGAAAATGTAGACCCCAACCTGTGCACACACCTGATCTACGCCTTCTCTGTAATCAGCCCCTCAAATGAGATAACAATGTACGAGTGGAATGATGATGTTCTTTACAGATCCTTCAATGCCCTCAAGAACAGGTGCGTGGTTGAAATATTACTTTAACCGTGGCTTTGTTCTCAATCATTAATAACAAAAGTGTGCAAGGTTCAGCAGCTGTTCTGGCATGAA